GTGGCCATGTCCATGTCGCACCCCCCGACCCCCCACTGCACTCCCCTACCCACAAACCCCCCCAAATCCCCATGGTCACCTCCACCCGGCTCCCACCCTCACACAGACGTGGTGCACTCGCGGGTCAGCGGCGCCGTGGGCAGCTCAGTGGCCGGGCCGGCCGGAGCCCTGTCCAGCGAGCTGGACGTGCGCAGCGGGATCCCCGCCCGGCCGGGGGGCTGCCCACGGCTCCGGGCGCGGCCGCAGCAGCAGAGCACGCGCAGGAACTCGCCGCGCATGTCCTTGCTGCGCAGCATGTAGATCACCGGGTTGGCTGCCGAGTTGAGCGTGGCGAAGGCGAAGAAATAATTGGCGCTGTAGAGCACGCGGCAGGCGCGCACGGGGCACGAGGCGTCCATCAGGAGGATGATGAAGGCGGGCAGCCAGCAGACGATGAAGGCGCCCAGCACGATGGTGACGGTCTTGAGCAGCGCCAGCGTCTGCGCCGAGGCGATCTCGGCGTGGCTGGAGCGCACGATGCAGTAGATGCGCGTGTAGAGCCCCACGATGGCCATGAGGATGAGCGTGAAGATGGTGGTGACGAAGAGCACGTAGCGCTTGGAGTAGAGCGGCAGCACGGTGGAGCAGTCGCCCAGGTCGCTGATGCAGTTCCAGCCCATGATGGGCAGGCTGCCGACGGCGCCGGCGATCACCCAGCAGGCGCCGATGAGCAGCACCATGCGGCAGCTCTTGTCGCTGCTGTACACCTTCACCTTGGTGATGGCCACGTGCCGCTCGATGGCGATGGCCAGCAGGCTGAACACCGAGGCCGCCAGCGTGGCGAAGGCCGTGCCCTCGCGCACGAACCACTGCACGGGCGTCAGGCTGAAGGTGGTGCTGCCCGACAGCAGCGTATTGGCCATGAAGGCCGCGCCCGCCAGCAGGTCCGAGGCCGCCAGGTTGCCGATGAAGATGTACATGGCCAGGTGCAGGCGCTTGTTGCGGCAGATGGACACCAGCACCAGCAGGTTCTCCAGCACGATGAAGCAGCAGAGCACGACGATGAGCACAGAGCCCACCCAGCGCGAGGGCGCCGCGGCCTCGCCCCCGTCGCCCTTGGTGAAGTTGTAGTGCTCGCGGATCTTGTCGCGGTTCCAATATTCCTTGTAGATGCTCCCCATGGCGGTGGTGGGGGGCAGAGAGGAGGACGAGGCTCAGCGCCGCCGGGACATGGCTCCTGGGGACGGAAATGTCACCTCATTGTCACCAAGGACACCTCGGGGTCCCCCAAGGCTCAGTGCCTCCAGGACATGGCTCCTGGGGACGGAAATGTCACCTCATTGTCACCTCATTGTCACCTTTGTGCCACCAAGAAGACCCTAGGGTGACCTGAAGCTCAGCACCACCAGGACATGGCTCCTGGGGAGGGAAATGTCACCCCATTGTCACCTCTGTGCCACCAGGTACACCCCGGGGTGACAGCCGGTGTCACACCCCGTTTGTCACACCCAGGTGTCACCCAGGGCCAGAGGGGTGTCACCCACTGGGGTGGCAGGAGGTGACACCGGGTGGTGGCAGGAGGTGACAGACACCCCGGGGGGGTGGGGACACCGGGGATGTCACCGCCGGGTCCCCGTGTCCTCCCTCACGCCCGGTCCCCAGATTTCGGGACAGGACCCCCGGTTAGGGCTCCCCCCGCTCCCGCCCCCCCCGTTCCTCCCGTTGCGGGACTCCCGAGGGTCTGGATGGGACCGAGGGCCGGAGCGGGGGAAGGAGCCCCGGAGCCTTCCCGGTACCGGCGTCGGTCCCGTCCCGGTGCCCGCCCGTCCTGGTGCAGTCCCGGAGCCTCCCTGGTGCCGTTCTGGTACCAGAGCTCCCCCGGTGCCGTCCTGGAGCCCGCCCGGTACCAGAATTGCCCCGCTCCCGTCCCAGTGCCGTCCCGGAGCTCCTCCGGTGCCGTCCCGGTCTCGGAGCGGCCCCGGAGACTCCCCGGTCCCGTCCCGGAGCCGTCCCGGTACTAGAACTCCCCCAGGTGCCATCCCGGAGCCGTCCCGGTCCCGTCCCGGTACCAGAAGTGCCCCGCTCCCGTCCCGGTGCCGTCCCGAAGCCCCCGTTCCCGTCCCGCCACCGCCCGGTGCCTCGCGCAGCCGCGCCCGGTGCCGGGACACCGCCCCAGGCTCCCGCCGCCCCCGGGACCCCCCTAGGACCCCTCCGGGCCACCCCCGGAGCCTCGTACGGGTGCCGGTGGGAGCCGCCGGTGCCGGTCGGAACCGGCACGGAGCATCCGCCGCTTCCCCTTCCCCTCGGCCGCCCGCCCCCGGCTCGGAGCGGCCCCGGGCGGAGCCAGCGGGGGGAACGGGCGGGGCCGGGGGCGGCGGGACCCCCGGGGAATGGCAGACCGGGATCCCAAACCGGGAATGGCCCCAGGAACGGCCCCGGGATCCCAAACCGGGACCCTAAACCGGGATCCCAAACTGGGAACGGCCCCAGGAACGGCACCGGGATCCCAAACCGGGATCTCAAACCGGGACCCCAAAATGGGAACTGCCCCCGGGATCCCGAGCCGGGAATTGGCCCGAGAATTACTTCGGGAATTGCCTCCGGGACCCTGAACCGGGAATTGCCCCCGGGACCGGGACTGGGAATTGCCCCGGGATCCTGAGCTGGGATCCAGCACCGGGAATTGCCCCGGGATCCCGAACTGGGACCGGGACCGGGGTCCTGCCCCGGGGAATCGCACCGGGATCCTGAGCCGGGGGTGCCGCCCCGGGATCATCCACCGGGATCATCCCCGAGATCCATCCCCTGGAATCCGCCCGGGATCCATCCCCGGACCTCCCGAGACCCCCCGGGACCCCCGCCCCCTGAGGGGGATGGGGCGGCGGGGGGGGTCACCGGGGCCGCCTCGATCCCGAAATATCCCGGAGCAAATTGGATCAGCGCGGACAAAGCCGAGCTTAGAGCCGTGTTTAGCCGCGTAGGCGGCGCCCGCCGGGGCCGGGAGGAGCCCCCGAGACCCCCTCAGACCCCCCCGAGCCCCCCCAGAGACCCCCGAGACCGGACACGCGCGTGGGGGGACACGGGGACAGGGACCCCCCGGCCGGGCGCTGTCACCGCCGGGATTTTGGGGACCCTCGGGGCTTTGGGGACCCCCCCACAGGGACAGGACCCCCCCCCCCCGCCCCCTGCCAGCTGCGAGCCAGATGTTGGCTTGGCCGAAACAGCTGGGCCGGGACAATGAGGGGGGGGGACAGCCGGGGGGACCCCCATCCGTGGGGGTGGCCTTGAACCCCCCCAACCATGGGGACCCCCACAATGTGTCCCCCCACCCTTGGGGACACCCCCGAGCCGCCCCCAAACCCCCCCAGACCCCTCCGCGCGCTTGGGGCCGCTCCGGGGGTCCCGTTCTGAGCCCCCCTCCCCAATTCGGGGGGTCCCGGGGAGGTCCCGGGGGTGAGGGGATCCTCGGGGCGGGGGCACGGGGGTCTCGGGGGAGTTTTGGGGCTCTTACCGGTCCCGGGGCCGGTCCCGGCAGCGCTGAGCGCCCGTCCCGGGTCCAGCATGAGCGGGGGGGGGGCCGCGGGGGCGGAGGGGGCGGGGCTGGGGCGGAACCACACCCTCGAGGGGCGGGGCCACTGTGTGACATTCCCCCCCCCCCGCCATGGCTGGGACCCCCCAAGATGGGGTGGGGAACCACAAAAACCAAAAAAAACAGCAAAAAAACCTCCCTAAAAAACCAGCCCAAAAAACAGCAGCCCCCCCGCGTGTGTCCCCCCCATTTTGGGTGGGTGACAGCCCCAAAATGCGGCGGGGGGGGGACACACAAACGCCCCATCCGTTCTTCTTATTCTTCCCCCTCCTCCAGGAGGATTTTGGGAGATTTTTCACAATTTGGGGGATTTTTTGGGGGCTGGAAAAACTTCCCGGACTTTCCAGGGCTCGTCCCGGGAGGAATTCGGGGGTGGGGGGAGGATGAATTATTTGGGGGGGGGGATTTGGGGGGTTGGGAAGGGCCCGTCCCCCCCAAAAAAACCAGAAAAAATCCCCAAATTTTGAGCGCTGGGAGGGGCCGAGGGGCCGGAGAAGGGATTTAATGAATTTGGATTTAATTGGAACCAGGCGCGGGGTCGGGCTGGGGCGGGCGGGATGAGCCCCCCCTCCCCCCCTCCCCCAATCCATGCGGAATTCCCGCCCCCGGACCCCCGGGAGCGGGCGGGGCTGTGGAAACACGGATTGGGGAAAAAAAGAGGAAAAAAAGGATTCCCGAATTGTCCCAACAATCCCGGCCCCGCGAATTCCGGGTGGGAATTTGGGAGAGACCCTGGGTGTGGGGTGGAGCCCCCCGAGGGGGAAATGGGAATGGAGAAATGGGAACTGGGAATGGGAACTGGGAATGGGAACTGGAACGGGGAAATGGAAATGGGGAATGGGAATAGGAAATGGGAAACGGGGAATGGGAAATGGGGAATGGGAATGGGAAATGGGAACGGGACCAGGCGGTGGGGCTGGGATAGGGAACGGGAAGGAGCAGGGACACTGGGAATTGGCACTGGGAAGGGACAGGGACATTGGGAATGGACACTGGCACTGGGGAGGGACAGGGACACTGGGAATGGACACTCGTAAGGGACAGGGACACTGGGCAGGGACATTGGGAAGTGGCACCGGCACTGGAAAGTGGCACTGGAGAGGGACGGGGACACTGGATATGGCACTGGGAATGGACACTGGCACTGGGGAGGGACAGGGACACTGGGAATGGACACTGGCACCGGTAAATGGCACCGGACAGGGACGGTTGGACTGGGGGCGCTGTTGGGGGTCACTGGGGAGGGGGCACTGGGGGTGACACCGGGGAGGGGACACCAGGGGGACACCGTGGGGGGAAATTTGGCGTTGGGGACACAAAGGGGGGGGTCCCCCCTTTCCTCCCCGTTTTCCCGCCGTTCCGCCCCCGCCGGAAGTGGCGCCGCGCGCGCAGTGACGTCACCGCGCCCGTCCCCGCCCCTCGCCTTCCCGCCATGATCCGCGCGGGGGCGGCCGCCCTGAGGGCCTGGAGCCGGGGCCGGGGCTGGGCCGCGGTGAGAACGGCACCGGGAGCGGGGCCGGGAGCAGGGCCGGGCCGGGGGGAGAAGGGGCGGGGAGCGACACCGGGAGCGGCCCCGGTACTGGGATGGGAACGGGGGGAACCGGGCGGGGGCGGGGCCAGAGCCCTGAGGGCGGTCCGTGGGCAGGGCCAGGGCCGTGAGGGTGGTGAAATAGGCGGGGCCAGGACAATGAGGGCGGTGAAATGGGCGGGGTCGTGGCTGAGGGGCTGGGTTGGGGCGGTACCAAGTGGAAGCTCGGCCCGGGGGGGTTCGGAGGTCCGGGCCGGGCCCAGGAGCGGGGCTGGGGGGCGGGCGGGGGTCGTGTGCCCCCTCCCCTCAGCCCGCGGTTGGTCTCGCCCCCCTGGGGACACCCTGGGGACATTGGGGACACCCTGGGGACACCATGGGCATTGTCCCCAATGTCGCTGTCCCGCAGCTCTCGACGGCGCCTCCGGCCGCGCCTGCGGTCCCTGAGCCCCGCAAGGGTGAGTGCGGGGTTGGGGACACCTTGGGGACATCGGGGACATCCTGGGGACAGTGACAGGGGCTGGGGACAGCCAGGACCATCATGGGGACATCATGGACAGAGCCACCACGGGGTTGGGGACACCTGAATCACCCTGGGGACATCAGAGCTGGCTGCCCGTGCTTTGGGGGGTGCCAGGAGCCGCCTGTGAGGGTCCCCATTGTCCCCAGAGAAGCCCCCAGTGCTGCGAAGCTGCAGTGTCCCCACGCTGTCCCCAGTGTCCCCACGTGTCCCCTTGTCCCCAGGACTGTCCCCAGAGGAGCCCCCGGTGGCGTCCCCGGTGCTGAGGAGCTGCAGTGTCCCCGTGCCGTCCCCGCTGTCCCCCGTGCAGGCCTGGGTGGGGTCCCTGCGCCACCCCCAGGACACGCTGCGGGGCCTGGCCGACCTGCACCCCGACGTCTTCGCCGTCACCCCCAGGTGGGGACACCCGGGTGGCTGTGGGGACACGCTGGGGACACCCCCAGGTGGGGCTCTGGGTCAGTGTCCCCCTTCTGTGTCCCCCCCCGTGTCCCCAGGCTGGACATCCTGCACACGGTGGCCACGTGGCAGAAGAACTTCAGGAGGATTGTGAGTGTGGGGAGGGGTTTTGGGGGGAAAAAGAGGGATTTGGGGTGGAAAAAGGGACTTGGGGGCTGAAAATGTTTGTGTCCTCTGTCTGTCCCTCTGTCTGTCCCAGAGCTATGCCTGCGTGCGCACCCGGGCCGAGGTGCGGGGCGGTGGCCGCAAGCCCTGGCGGCAGAAAGGCTCCGGGCGCGCCCGGCACGGCTCCGTGCGGTCCCCGCTGTGGAGGGGAGGTGAGTGACACCCAAAACCCAGGGATGGGGACACACAGGGGGCTGGGTACAGGGACACGGGTCTCGGGACAGCCTGGGGACATCCTGGGGACAAGGACATGGGGGCCGGGGATGTCCTGGGGATGTCTGGGACTGCCCTGAGGACATCAGGAACCACCCTGGGGACCCCAGGCCTGGCTATCCCTGGTTTGGGGTCTCTGGGGACCCCAGGCCTGGCTGCCCACCTCGGCCCGGCCCATGGGTGGTGTCCCCTGCCCGGAGATGTCACCGTGTCCCCTCCTGGCAGGTGGCATCGCCCACGGCCCACGGGGCCCCACCAGCTACTTCTACATGGTGCCCATGAGGGTGCGGGTGCTGGGGCTGAAGGTGGCCCTGAGTGTGAAGCTGATGCAGGTACGGGGGTGGCCCGGGGGGGTGGGGGACACCCGGGGCTGGGGACAGGGTGACAACGGCCCTGGTGTCCCCCAGGATGAGCTGCACGTGGTGGAGAGCCTGGAGCTGCCCAGCAGTGACCCCCAGGAGCTGCTGGAGCTGGCACGGGCACGGCGCTGGGGACACTCCGTGCTGCTGGTGGACACGTGAGAGAGGGACACTGGGGACAATGGGGACACTGGGACAGGGCTGGGGACACAGGGACAGGGCTGGGGACACTGGGACAGGGCTGGGGACACAGGGGGTACTGGGGACAGGGCTGGGGACATTGGGGACAGGGCTGGAGCTGGCACAGGCATGGCGATGGGGACACTCCGTGCTGCTGGTGGACACGTGAGAGAGGGACACTGGGACAATGGGGACATTGGGGACACTGGGACAGGGCTGGGGACAGGGCTAGGGACAGTGGGGATGGCATGTCCATGGATCTGGGGACGCCCCATCCCTTTTTCCCCCAGCAATGAATTCCCAGAGAACATCAGCGCTGTGGCCGAGGGGCTCAAATCCATCACCCTCATCCCCGCCCTGGGTGAGCCCCAATCCCCTCGCTCTGACCCCTCCCCAGAGACGCTCTGGGGACCCCGCTGACGTCCCCAACGTGTCCCCAACGTGTCCCCACCTGTCCCCACGCAGGGCTCAACGTGCACAGCCTGCTCAAGCACCAGACGCTGGTGCTGACCCTGGACGCCGTCGCCTTCCTGGAGCAGCGGCTGCTGTGGCACGACTCGCGCTACTCACCCCTGGTGCCCTTCTCCCTGCCCCACCGGGACCTGCCCGGGGCCGCCTGAGACCCCCCAGGCGGGATTTGCCCCTCTTGGGTGGGATTTGCCCCCCCGGCTAGGATTTGTCCCCCCCATGGGGCAGATCCTGTCAGGAAAGGATTTGGGGACACCGCGGCACAATGAGGTTTTGTCCGTTCTCCAGGAGGATTTCCTGGAGCCCCCCAGGGTGGGATTTGCCCCCCCCAGATGGGATTTGCCCCCCCAGACCGGATCCAGCCCCCCCATTCAGGAATTCAGGGTTGTCGGGCGCTGCTGTGGCCATTAAAGGGATTTTTTTTCCATTGTTGTTGTTTTTATTTTGGGTGGAATCAGGGGGTTGCCACCTCCTTTTGGGGCTCCCCTCGTGTCCCAACCCCTCTGGGATCCCCCCCAAATATTCCAGCTCCTTCATCCCAATCCCAGCCCCCTCCTCAATATCCAAACCCCTTTTGGATCCCAAACCCTTTTCCAGTCCCTCCTCCTCACCGCGGGTTTTCCCCACGGATTCTGTCCTTTTGGGTGGAATTTTGGGAATTTCGGGGCCGTGGTGGCTGAGGGATTTTTGTGGGTGTGTCTCCCCCCCCCACAAATGTCCCCAAGTGTTCCCATCCCCTCCCACACCTCGGGAAGGTGGGAGCCGGAAAAGGAGGAAATTCAGGAGGAATAAATTCTGGCCTCACCCAATTCCTGTGAAATTTGGGGCAGGGGAAAACCTGGGAATGCCTGCACTGAGAGGGGGCGGGGGGTGTCAAGGTTTTTGGGGGAATTTTGGGGGTCCCGAGGGGAATTTTGGGAATCCCAATGTCCCTCTTGGAATCCCGGGAGTGCTGGCGCGGGTTTTTGGGGGAAAATCTTGGGAAAAAAAATCGGGAAATTGGGAATTTTGATGAGGCCAGGGACCCCACACACACACAATAACCAGGACCGGGGGTCGCACCGAGCCCCCCGCCGCCGCCCCCTCCTCAGCACGTGGCGAGGCATGGGGGGGGGGGGGTTAAACCCCCGGTGTGTGCCCCCCGTGCCCTCCGGGGCTCTCCGTGTCCCCCCCCGCGCCGCTGACCCGCGCGCACCGCCCGGCTCATTGCTCTTTACATGGGCGCCGCCATCTTGCGGCGCAAAGGGTCCTGGGATATACCGGTGCGGAACTACTGCAAAGACTGCCGGGATACACCGGGGTTTTATTCCCGCAAAGGCTGCCGGGATTTCCCGCGGGGCACGCCGGGATACGCCAAGGCGTTGGGGGCCACAGAGGCTGCCGGGATACACCGAGGCGGAAACCGTCAGCGCTCCCCGCGCTCCGCCAGCTCCCGGCAGAGCTGGGACGGGGAAAACACCCCCCACTCGGTGATGATGCCCCCCGTGATCAGCTCGTGCGGCGTGACGTCAAACGCTGGGTTCCATACGTCCACCTCTGCACCAGGAGGAGGAAGAAGGGGGAGTACATGGGGTCAGAGGGGCTCTGGCAGCGACCTCAGCCCCCCCTGACCCGTCGAGGAACCCCAAACCCTACAAAGCAACCCTCTATGGGACCCCTGAGCCCCTGAGACCCCCCCCCCCCCCCCCGAGATCACCCCCAGACCCACCAGGACCCCCAAGACCCCTCTGAGACCCCCCCAGACCCACCACAATCCCCCAGGGCCATGCTCCAGGCCCCCCTCCCACCCCGGCACCCACCGGGTTCGGCCAGGAGAACATCCCCGAGCCGGGTGAGCTCGGTGCCCGGGCGCTCCTCGATGGGGATCAGGCTGCCCGAGGCCAGCGAGGGGTCGCAGCTGCTGCTGGGGGCGGCCACGTAGAAGGGGACGCGCAGGTGGCGCGCGGCCAGCGCCAGCTGGAACGTCCCGATCTTGTTGGCCACGTCACCGTTGGCGGCTACGCGGTCGGCTCCCACCACCACGGCTGGGGGGCACAGGAGGGGCGGGGGGATGAGATGTGTCACCTGTGTGCCGTCACATCCCATCCCTGTGCCTTCAGCTTTGGGCCTGTCCTTTCCCAGCTCATCTGTCAACACCTGGTTTCCCTCCTCTTTGTCCCCATCCCATTCTGTGTGTTCCCACCCTGTCCTGTGTGTGCCCATCCTGTCACCCACCCCATGTCCCTCCTGCGTCCCCATCCTGCGTCCTTTTCCTTGTCCCCATCCCATTTTCTGTGTCCCCATCTTGCTCTCTGTTCCCATCCCCCATCCCTTTTCCTTGTGCCCACCCTGCTCTGTGTCCTCCATGTCCCTCTGTCCCCTCCCCATTCCTCTGTCCCTCCCCGTCCCTCTGTCCCTCCCGGTACCGTGCACGCCGCGCTCCCGCATGGCGGCGGCGGCGGCGCTGTCGGCGATGATCGTGACCGGGATCCCGTCGTGCCGCAGCTCCAGCGCCGAGAGCCGTGAGCCCTGGTGGAAGGGCCGGGTCTCAGTGCAGAACACGCGGGACAGCGACCCCCGCTCGTGCAGGGCCCGCACCACACCTGGGGGGGACATGGGGACACTTAGGGACACCTCAGGGACACCACGAAAAGCCCCAGGGGGAAAAAGGGGGCAGGGAGCCCCCCAGCGCCTCCCAGAATCTCCCAGTCCCCCCCACTCCCCTCCCAGTCCCTCCCCAGTTGCCCCCAGTCCCCCCCCAGTTACCCCACATTGCCCCTGGTGCCCCCCCAGTCCCTCCCAGTCTCCCCCAGTTCCCCCCAATCCCCCTCCCAGTGCCCCCAGTACCCAGGGCGGTGCCGTAGCCGGCCGTGGCGAGGGTCCCGGTGTTGCAGTGGGTCAGGAGGGTGACGGGACCCCCGCCCGGGACCCCCCCCAGGATGTGCTCGGCCCCGTGGGTGCCGATGCTGCGATTGTCGCGCCGGTCCTTGGCCAGCAGCCCCTCGATGTACTCGATGATGCTGGGGGGAAAATTGGGGGTGGTGACCTCAAAATCATACCAAATATACCCCAAAATCTGCCCCAAATTCACCCCAAAATTCACCCAATCTACCCCAAAATTTACCCCAAAATCCTGACCCCAAACCCAGCCCAGCAGCCCCTCGATGTACTTGATGATGCTGGGGGCGGGGAAAAATGGGGGTGGTGACCCCAAAATCCATCCCAAATCCATTCTGAATCCAGCTCAAACCCATCCCAAAATCCACCCCAAATCTACCTCAAAACACAGCCCAAAATCCTGACCCCCAAATCCACCCCAAAATCGACCCCAAACCCATCCCAAATCCACCCCGAAATCCTGACCCCAAATCCACTGCAAAATCATCCTAAATCCCCCCCAGATCCCCACCTGGAACCCCAAATCCCCTCAAATCCCCCCCTGGACCCCCAAATCCCCCCCCCGCCCCAGACCCCCAATCCCCCCGATCCCACTCCCGTTACCTCTCTCGCAGCTCCTGGGGGGTCACCCCGGGGGTCTCCCGCACCTTTTTGCGGAGCCACCCCCGCAGCCTCTCGGCCTCCCTGCCCAGGTTGGCGGCCGTGGGGCGGGCGCTGAGCAGGAACCCCAATCTCTGCCCCACGAACTCCTCGAGCGCCCCCAAATCCTCCTGGGGGCCCGCGCCCCCCGCCAGCTCCACGGCCAGGCTGAGGCAGCCCAGCAGGGCGATGGCCGGGGCCCCCCGCACCTGGGGGGCACGGAAACGACACTGAGACCCCTCCCCAAAATGGGTCTGGGTCCCTGAAACTGGAAACAACACTGAGACCCCCCCCCAAAAAATGGGTCTGGGGTCCCCAAAACGCTGAGGCAGCCCAGCAGGGCGATGGCCGGGGCCCCCCGCACCTGGGGAGCACGGAAATATCACTGAGACCCCTCCCCAAAATGGGTCTGGGGTTCCTGAAACTCGGGGAGGCAGGGAAACAACGCTGATACCCCCCTACCCCAAAATGGGGAGGGGGCACAGGACGACACCTGAATCCTCCCCCCCCAGATTGATTTGGGGATCCCCCAAATAAGAGGTGGGGGTTTGGGGGGGAGGGGTCAGGATTGGGGTGGGGGTCTCGGGGAGTATTTGGCGGGGGGGTCAGGGGAGTTTTGGGGTATTTGGGGAGGTCAGGGGGTATTGGGGGGTCTCTGGGGTATTTGGGGGTATTTGGGGGGGGTCTCCCCTCACCTCCATGTCGCGGATGGCGCCCCAGGCCCGCTCCACGCCCCCCACCCGTTCGTAGCGGAGCTGCCCCGGCAGCAGCCGCTGGTTCAGAACCTCGAGCGAACCGCGGCGGTATCGGAGCGACTCCAGCGCCATCGCGACACAAACCGCGACAGAAACGGCGACAGAGAACGCGACGGGACACGAGACAGAAACGGGGACAGAGCTCCGCCCCTTCCGGAAAGCCCCGCCCCCAACAGGGCCCGCCCCCAGCGCGCCAAAATCACGGAAATGGCGGCAGTTTTTAATTTTAATTTTAATTATTTTGGGGGGATAAATTACAATAAACAGGGGGGACGGGGTGGGGGGACAGGGGGCTCAGAGACCCCTCCCCCCATCAGACCCCCCCAGTTTTGGGGGGTACCGGCCCCCCCAAATCCCCCTCAGGGGCTCTCGGAACCGGAGTCGGAATAATCGGCGACCAAAGATGGGGCGGGGGCGTCCCGGGGGGGTCCCGCAGTTTGGGGGGGATCCTGGGAGGGTTCCCCAGTTTGAGGGGGATCCCGGGGCTTTCCCCCATCCTGGGGGGGGGTCCTGAGAGGGTTCCCCAGTGTGGGGGGGATCCTGAGGAGCTCCCTCAGTTTGGGGGGGGTCCCGGGGGTTTCCCCCATCCTGGGGGGGGTCCCGGGGTGTCCCCGCCCCCCTCCTGACGATGCCGAGCCCGGCGGGGGTCGGGGGGGGTCCCGGGGGTGTCCGTGACGCCCCCAGCCCCAATTTTTGGGGAGGGGTCCGGGAGGTGCCGGGTCCGAACCAGGAGCGCTGGGAGATCTCGGAGCGCTTCAGGCGCTGCCGCTGCTCGTAGGCTGAGGGGGGAATGGGGACCCCAAAATGTCACCCCGAAATGGAGACCCCGAAATGTCACCCCGAAATCGGGACCCCATAATCCTGACCTCAAAATCTGACCCCAAAATGGTGAGCCTAAAATGCTGACCCCAAAATTCCCCCAAACTCCACTATAACACCCCCAAATCCCCGCAAATCCTCCCCAAATCCCCAGCTGGAACCCCAAACCCCTCCCAAACCGCCCAAATCCCCCCCCAGATTCCTCCTCCAAATCCCCCTTAAACCTCCCCAAATCCCCCCAGAACTCCCCTAAATCCTCCCAAAACTCCCCAAAATCCCCCCAAACCCCCTTAGGACCCCCCGAAATCCCCCTCTCGCAGTCGGGGGCGCGCAGGCTGACCAGCGCCGCCAGCCACGGATCCTCCCCCAAATCCCACCCAAACCCCCTCAAATCCCCCCAAAACCCCCCCAGGAACCCCCAAATCCCCACCTGCGACCCCAAATCCCCCCGGGACCCCCCGGACCCCTCCTCACAGTCGGGGGCGCGCAGGCTGAGCAGCGCCGCCAGCCACCGATCCTCCCCCAAATCCCACCCAAACCCCCTCAAATCCCCCCAAAACCCCCCCAGGAACCCCCAAATCCCCACCTGCGACCCCAAATCCCCCGGGACCCCCCGGACCCCTCCTCACAGTCGGGGGCGCGCAGGCTGAGCAGCGCCGCCAGCCGCCGATCCTCCTCTTCCTCCCGGAGCAGGGGGATGCTGAGCCCGGCCTTCCTCGCCAGCGCCGCCGCCTCCTCCTCCTCCTCCCTCAGCGTCTTCTTCTCCTCCTGGGGAGGGGAAATGGGGCTGGGGGCGAGGGGCGGGACCGCCCCGGGGGGAGGCCGGGATTCTAGGGGGTAGGAGGATCTGGTGGGGGGTTTTGGGGTTTTTTTGAGGGGTTTTAGGGATTTTTTGGGGCGTTTTTTGTGGGGTTTTTTTGTGGGCTTTTTGCGCGGGGGGTTGAGGGTTTTTTTCGGGGTTTTCGGGGTGTTTTGGGTATTTGGGTTTTTTTGGGGGGGGGGTTTCGAGTTTTTTTTGGGTGTGCTGGAGTTGGCAAGGTGGATTTGGTGGGGTGTAGGGGATTTTTAGGGGGTGATTTAGGGGAGGTTTTAGGGGGTTTAGGATAAGTTTTTTAGGGAATTTTGAGGAAGGTTTTTAGGGGATTTAGGCAATGATTATGGGGAGGTTTTTAGGGGATTTAGGGGAGGTTTTTTAGGGAATTTTGGGGAGGTTTTTCAGGGTGCTTTTAGGGTACTTTGGGGTCCCCAGCGCCCCGCACTGACCCGGAACCTTCTCCTGAGGCGGCTGTTGAGGCCGAAGTCGTCCTTCCAGGCGCTCTGAGCCTCCTGCAGCCGCGTCAGGGTGGGCGTGACGCGCTCCAGGACCCCCCGGTCCGACACGCCGTGCTCCAGGCGGAACATGGCGTCCGTGGCCAGGCGCTGCCGCTGCTCTGGGGCTGGGAAACAACAGACTGGGATGGACTGGGATGGACTGGGATGGACTGGGATGGACTGGGAGGGACTGGGAGGGACTGGGGACACTGGGGGTGACACGTTCCAGGACACGCTCTGTGCTCCAGGCGGAACATGGCATCCGTGGCCAGGCGCTGACGCTGCTCTGGGGCTGAGACAGAGGGACTGGGATGGACTGGGGATACTGGGACAGGGACCCAGGGATCACTGGGCCATACTGGTCCCTACTGGTTTATACTGGACTCACAGGAGGGCAGCACCTGCTCGCTGTCCCCGGGCTCCCAGCGCCATGAACAGCTCCCTGGGGCACTGGGATGGACTGGCTCACTGGGACAGGGACGCTGGGACTGTAGGGGGTTACTGGGCCATACTGGTCCATACTGGGACTCACAGGAGGGCAGCACCTGCTCGCTGTCCCCGGGCTCCCAGCGCTCCTCCTTGCGCCGGGCCCCGCTGACGATGACGTAGTCGCAGTTCCCGGGGTCCGTCTGCAGCTCGATGTAATTCACGCACAGGTGGCACTTCATCCTGAACCTGGGCGGGCAGAATGTGCCCTGGGGGTCCCCAAAATCCACACACACACACACAGCCCCCCAAAAATACCAAAAAATTCCAAAAAAATCCAAAAATCCAGTTCCAGTCCCCCAAAACTCTCCAACCTGAATCTGAACCAATCCTGAACCTGGGGGGGCGGGGGGGCACAGGGCTCAGGGGGACCCCAAAAAATCCCCTGGGGGTCCCCAAAGTACACACACAAGCTTCTGGCCCCCTCAAATCCATACACACCCTTCTTGCCCTCCAAAAATCCCAAAAATCCGGTTCTAGACCTCAAAATCCACACACACTGTTCTGATCCCCCAAAATCCATACACACCCACCCAACCCCCCAAAAATCCCAAAGTTCCAGCCCCCCAAAACCTCCCCAACCCTCCTCCCCCACCAAAACCCCCCCAGCCTCCCAGGTGCCCCCCAAACCTCACCTGTACACGGGCGTGGTGTAATAATTCCCCACCTTCTTCTTCTCAGCGTTGTACCTGACACCTGGGGGGGGATTGGGGGGCTCAGACCAACCCCCCCACATTTGGAGAACCCCCCAAAACCCCTTTGGAACCCCCCAAAATCCCCCCAAAATGGGGCGGGGGCTCACCCATGCCAATGTGGTTCTGGCAGCCGTCGCACCAGATGTTGAAGGGCATCTCGAACCTGGGGGGGTTTTGGGGAGTCAGGGAGGGTCAGGAGGGGTTTGGGGGGGTCAGGGGGTGTTTTTGGGGGGTCCCAGCCCCACCTGATGACGAGGATGCCCTGGGAGAGTTTGCGGGCGCGCTCTCGCAGGGGGTGGCTGTGGTGGTACCGGTTCAGGGAGCCGTGCTGGGGGAAAAGGGGGGAAAAAGGGGGTCAGGAGGGGGGTGGCACCCCCAAAATCCAGCTCTGGCACCCCAAAATTCCCACACACCCTTCAGGACCCCCAAAATCCAGTTATGGACCCCTAAAATCCACACACACCCACATGGTCCCACAAAGTTACACACACGCCCTTCCACCTCTTCCCCCAAAAATGAATCTTCAGCCCCCCCAAAACCTCCCCAAACCCTTCCCCAACTCCCTCAAACCCCTCTAGTTCCCCCAGTCACCCCCCAGCCCCCCAAACCTCCCTTAAACCCCCCAAAACCCCCTCAGGACCCCCCCAAACCCCTCCCCAGCTCCCCCAAACTTTCCCTAAACCCCCCAAATTCCCCTCAAAACATCCCCAACCTCCCCCCAAAACCCCTCCTCAGCCCCCCACGCACCCCCCAAACTCCTCCCCCAGCCCCCAAACTCCCCAATAACCCCCTCAGGACCCCCCCGAGCCCCCCCGAGCCCCCAACCCACCTTGGCAGGGTCGAAGTCGGGTGGGTAGTATTTGTTGGTGCCCTTGCGCTCACCCTGTGGGGAAACGGGGGGGTCAGGGGGCGTGGCCTCGGCGTGACCCTGCTGTGACCTTGGTGTGACCCCAGCATGACCCCTGTGTGACCCTGCTGTGACCCCACAGTGTGACCCCTCTGTGACCCTGCAGTGACCTCAGTGTGACTCCACTGTGTGACCACTGTGTGACCCCTGTGTGACCTTTATGTGACCCCACAATGTGATGACTGTGTGACCTCAGTGTGACTCCCGTGTGACCCCTCTATGACCTCAGAGTGACCCCTGTGTGACCCCTGTGTGACCCCTGCTGACCCCGCCCCCACTCACCATGGCTGAGGTCTCTGGAGGTCACCGGGGAGTCCCGGGTCCGACTGGGAGGAGCTGACGGTCACTGGTTTGTCCTGGGATGGGGACAGCGGGCACTGGTCTGTGCCGGGAGAGAGACGGGGGGCACTGCTCTGTACCGGGCTGTACCGGGATATCACCGGACCGTACCGAGCCGTACCGAGCTGCACCAGGCTATAACCGAGCCGTCCCGGGCCGAACCGCTCTGTTACCGGGCCGTACCGAGCCGTGCTGATCCGCACCGGGATATTACCGAGCCGTACCGCGCTGTGATCGGGTTGTTAGCGGGCCGTACCGATCCGTACCGAGCTGTTACCGGACCGCACCGCGTCTTTACGAGCCTTACCGGGATATCACCGGGCTGTACCGATCCGTTCCGAGCCGTACCACGCTGTTACAGGGCTGTTCCAGGATATTACCGGGCTGTTCCCGATCCGTCCCGATCCGTCCCGATCCGTACCGGGCCCACCCCTCACGCACCCCCCGGTCCGCACCGACCGCTTCCGGCTGCGCTCCTCAGGCTCCGCCTTTTCCTCCTCGTCACCGCCAGCTGATTGGCCCAGCCGCAGGGAGGGGGCGGAGACTTTTCCCCGCGGCCCCGCCCCTCCGCCGGCGCTCGCGACCTCTGGCTGCGCCGCAGCGCGGTGATTGACGGCAGCCCATAGCAACGGGAGCGCCATGGCAACGGGCGGTTCTAGTGACGTGTTTCCGTGGCAACGGGGCACATTGCGGCGAGGGCTCCATGGCAACGGGGTCCATAGCAACAGTGACCATAGCAACAGGGTCCTTAGCAATGGGGTGCCCCATGACAGTGGGCTCCATGGCAACAGCGTTCAGAGCATCCGTCTCCATAGCAACGGGTTTCAAACCGACGGGGGTTCATGGTAACGGGATCCATGGCAACGGGGCTCCATGGCAACGGGGGTCCATAGCAACGGGATCCATGGCAACGAGGGTGTCTAGCAAGGGGGTCCATAGCAACCGGATTCCATAGCAACGGACTGCTCCCCACCATCACCCCATGTCCCCATGGTGGTGGCAGTGTCCCCATCCCTGTCCCCATTACCGTCTCCATCCTCCTGTGTCCCCATCAATGTCCCTCTCTGTGTCCCCTCTGTGTCCCTTTCAATGTCCCCTCCATGTCCCCATCAATGTCCCCTCCATGTCCCTCATGTCCAGGCCAGGCCGTGCCCACCTGCCCAGGTGTCCTGCAGGGTGACAGCTGGACATGGCCAGTGGCACACATGGCACTGGGGACACAGCGGTGGCACTGGGGACACAGTGGTAGTGCTGTGGTGGCACCGAGGACACTGTGGTGGCACTATGGCACTGGGGACACGGTGACACGGCGGTTGCACAGCGGTGGCTCATTATCCTGTCCCTGTGATCAGGCACTGGCACTGGGGACACAGTGGTGGCACCGGTGATGTGGCAGTGGCACGGGTGACACGGTGACACGGCGGTGGCACAGCGGTGGCTCATTAGCGCGTCCCTGTGATCAGGCGGTGCCACCTGCAGGGACCCATGAGAGGCCACCGCGGTAGCACCTGCAGGGGGATGGTGGCACCGTGGGGACAGCAGCAGGCTCGGGGGGGACACGGGGACAGGGGAGGGGCAGGGACACCACCATGGGGACAGGGATGGGGACACTGCCACCACCCTGAGGACACAGAGTGACCATGACAGGGACACTGCCACTGCGTGGGAACACGGGGCAGGGATGGGGACATGGAGGGGACACAATGGGGACACGGGAGTAGGGCAGCCTTTGGGGACAGCGGCACAGGGACGGTGACATCCGGGAGAGCCAGACCCAGGTGTGCGCTGTGCCCAGGTGTGGGGGGGGGGGGCTGTACCCAGGTGTGAGTCTGTTCCCAGGTGTGTGTTTGTTCCCAGATGTGCCCAGGTGTGTCCCCACTCCTCCCAGGTGCCCCCACCCCCCATTGGTGCCCCGCCGGTACCGGAGGTGGGGGAGGGGCGATGATCCCCGTGTGGCCCCGCCCCCTCCGCCCCCCCCGCGGTGTCCCGGTGGCCCCGGGGGTGGCACCGCCAGCGCCGCGTGCGCGGGGGACAAAAGCGACACTGGGGACAAAGGGCCGTGACGTCAGCGGGGGCCGGGGGGCCACCCGTGACCCAGATGGGCCTTTGGGGGGGGAGGGGACAGGGTCAGTGTCCCCAAATGGGTCTGGGGGGGGACAGCGGGGTGGGGAAACTGAGGCAGCGCGGAGGGGGGTGATTAAAGCGCCATGATTAATTAAGGGGTAATTAAAGGGGGGGGAGTCCCAGGTATTGGGGTGGAGGGCGGGAGGAGGATGAGGAGGGAGAAGAGGAAGGTCCCGGTTTTTGGGGAGGGGGAGAGGAGGAGGAAGAGGAGGAAAAGGAGGAAGGTCCCGGTTTTTGGGAGGAGAGGGGGAGGAGGAGAAGGAGGAAGGTCCTGGGTTTTGGGGAGGGGGAAGAAGAGGGGGAAGAGGAGGAGGAAAAGGGGGAGGAAGGTCCCGGTTTTGGGGAGGAGAAGGAGGGAGAAGAGGAAGAGAAGAGGAGGAAGGTCCCGGTTTTGGGGGAGGAAGGAGAGGGGGCGGAGGAGGAGGAGGAGGAGGAGGAGGAGGAGGAGGAGGAGGAGGAAGGTCCCGTTTTGGGGAGGGTGGGAAGGAGGAGGAGGAGGAGGAGGAGCAGCAGCAGCAGCACCGGAGCTCTGCCGCAGCCCGGCCCGATGGGCCCCCCCTGCCCGCTGCTGCCGGGGGGCTGACGGCGACCCCCGCCCGGCCCCGCCGCCCCCAGGGGGGGGGGGGGGCACCACCCCCCACCCCCCCCCCAACGCCGCCGCATTTTTATTTTATTTTATATTAATTTATTTTTATTTTTTTCCTCTCCATTGGATTTTTGGGATTTTTTGCGGGGTGATTTTCTACCTTTTTTTCGCCCCCCAACCTCACAGATGCTCCGGGCCGGGGGCGCCGGGATGAGCTGAGAAAACCCCCCCGGATTTTTTAATTTTTTTTTTTCGCTCCTTTTCCTCTCCTTCCTTCCCCCCCCGCCCCAAATTACCGCAATCCCCTCCGGGGGGGGGAAACAACGAGAACCGCAGCGCCGGGACCCCCGCCCGCCGCTCCGGGGGCACCGCAGCCAACGGACCCCCCCCCGCAGCACCGGAGCGCCGCAGCGGGGGGGGCTCGGCCCTCGCCATCACCGGGACCCCCCCGGAACCGGAACCGGGACTCCGCGAGCTGCAGCAGCGCCAGGACCCCCCCCCCCCCAACCCCGTCCGGGGCACCGGGAGCCGCAGCGTCGGAGACCCCCGTTCCACCGGGGGGGGGGCAAGAGGAGAGCCCCCCCTCCGTTACCGGATTGCGGGGGGGACACCGCACACGAGAGGAGAGGAGAGAAGAGACCCCCCCTCATTTCGGGGCACCGCAGCGAGGAGAGGGAGAGAGAGAGAGAGCGAGAGAGAGAGAGAGCGACCCCCCCCATTTTTCCACCGGGGGTGCCCCCCCCATCCGCACCGCTCCGCGCGGGGGGGCCGCACCGGACGATGCTCGGGGCTGCCCCCAGTTATCCCTGAGCGCGCTGCCGGTACTGGGCACGGACCCCCGCGCCGGAGCTTTCATTTTTTAAATTTTTATTAATTTTTATATTTTTGGGGGGGGGTCCCATGGGATGTGATGAGCTCCTGCCCGGTGCCGTCCCCAGCAGCAGCAGCAGCAGCAGCAGCAGCAGCAGCAGCAGCAGCAGCGGCAGCGCTGTGACCATTGTGACCATTGTGACCATCGCGACCCCCCCGCGGTGCTGGCGGAGCCCCCCGGGCAAGGAGCGATGCCTCGCTTCGCGGATGAGCTCGGTCCCTCCTCGGGCCGCTACGGGCCCGGCGGCGGCGGCGGGAGCGGCCCCGGGACGGCGGCGGGGCTGGGCGGGGGTCGCGGCGCCGGGGGGGGGCCTCGCCAGGGCGCCCCCCCCGGGGCCCAGCGGCTCTACAAGCAATCCATGGCCCAGCGCGCCCGCACCATGGCCCTGTACAACCCCATCCCGGTGCGCCAGAACTGCCTCACCGTCAACCGCTCGCTCTTCCTCTTCAGCGAGGACAACGTGGTGAGGAAATACGCCAAAAAGATCACCGAATGGCCATATCCTTCCTTGGGGGGCCTCCCGAGCCGGGACCGGACACCCCAAATCCTCCCCCGGCATGCACGGACCCGGTTCTGGCACCCCCGAACCCCCCGGGATGGGAATGTGGGGCTGGGACGGGGAGCGGAGCCCAGCCCCCAGCGCGGGCATCCGGGCGGCTTTGGGGTCACCCTGTCCTGCATCGGGGTCCCCAGACCCATTTTGGGGTCACCCTGTCCTGCATTGGGGTCCCCGGGCCTGTTTTGGGGTACCCACCTTCATATTGGGGTCACCCTGCCCTGTACTGGGGTGCCCTGGCCCGTTTTGGGGTCACCCTGTCCTGCACTGGAGTGCTTGGCCCCGTTTTGGGGGGCCTGGTCCCGTTTTGGGGTCCCCAACCTCATATTGGGGTCACCCTGTCCCGCATGAGCTCCCCAGCCCCATTTTGGAGTCCCTAGCCCCACATTGGGGTCCCCAGCCCTGTACTGGGGTCCTCAGCCCTATTTCGGGGTCACCCTGTCCTGCCTGAGATCCTCAGCCCCATTTAGGGGTCTCCAGTCCCATTTAGGGGTCTCCAGCCTCATTTAGGGCTCCTCAGCCTCATTTTGGGGTCATCCTGTCCTGCATGAACTCCCCAGGCCCATTTTGGGGTCCCCAGCCCCATTTTGGTGTCACCCGGTCCTGCATGAGCTCCTCAGACCTATTTTGGGATCCTCAGCCCCACATTGGGGTCCCCAGCCCTATTTTGGGGTCTCCAGCCCCATTTTGGCGTCACCATGTCCTGCATGAGCTCCTCAACTCCACATTGGCGTCCTCAGCCCCCTTTAGGGGTCCCCAGCCCCATTTTGGGGTCACGCTGGCCTGCATGAGCTCCTCAGACCCATTTTGGGACCCTCAGCCCCAC